GACATATGTGTGATATATCCTATTTAATTTGACAATGTGAAGAAACATGTGTGTGATATATCCTATTTAATTTGATAATGTGAAGAAACATGTGTGTGATATATCCTATTTAATTTGACAATGTGAAGAAACATGTGTGTGATATATCCTATTTAATTTGACAATGTGAAGAAACATGTGTGTGATATATCCTAATTAATTTGATAATGTGAAGAAACATGTGTGTGATATATCCTATTTAATTTGACAATGTGAAGAAACATGTGTGTGATATATCCTATTTAATTTGACAATGTGAAGAAACATGTGTGTGATGTATCCTATTTAATTTGACAATGTGAAGAAACATGTGTCTGATATATCCTATTTAATTTGACAATGTGAAGAAACATGTGTCTGATATATCCTATTTAATTCTGTTTTTTAAATGAGTTTCTTTTTGAGTGGCCATATTTAAGATGTCATTATTCATTACCAAATGCACCAAAAACCTCCAAAACAGTATAAAAGTATTTAATACAAAATTATCATTTAAAAATAAGGTTGATACAACTTGTCATTATAAACCTTAAAATCCGCAATATACAATGGGAAAATTAAAAAAAGGACAATGAGGTGGTTTTAAAGCTAGACTTAACAAAATGAGAAAATGTGTTTCATCCAAAGAAAGTGACAATGAACAAACACGTTATGCTAGATTTACCCGTGTAATGACATATCTTTTAAAAATTGTACCATATAAGGCAGACAGAAGTACACCAAACACTGAAATCCAACCTGCCACTTTGTTGCGACCAAAATCTAGTGACATACAAAAGGCTAAACCAGTTAAATCTGCAAAAGAAGAGCAAGGGTGAAGATATACTAAACATCAATATTATCCATTTTTTTTAATCTTTATTCAATTATTCAACATTTATATACAATAAATATATTACATTTTACACAATATTCACAAAACAATGGTTAAAAGTATAATGAAATATATCATCAACACAATAATCAAAAATTAAATGCAATGACACCTTCAATATTACCCATATAATTTATTTACACACATATTAAACATTTAAAGAGGATCAGAGTTGCAATTATGCAAGAAAACATATACAATGGTCATTATTTACACCAGTTTACTAATTCTGGAAAAAGAATCAAAAGTATGCAAATAAATATATTAACATTGAAGTACCAATATGTATTGAGAAATTAAGACAAAGACAAATAAATCTGATAAACAGAAGATTTTTTTAAAAGCTAGTTATACAATTAACAGTTTTAAGGGGAGGTCACTAGCAACTTACATTTCACGTACTATTTAAATATATACAAGAATGCATGAAAAAATACTTATCTACTTGTGTTTTTTTTATACCAAAATTGAGTCTAAAACCAATATTATTGTCAACATAAAGTCAAGATAAAGTTAAATGCAATCATGTGGAATGCCATCTTTGATAAACATTTAGAACTACATCCACATTGTAAGGGGTTCGTTGGAAGGTGCATGTCAAAAGAAGAAAGACGGGGCCGTGGCAATTCTGAATGTGCTGTATGTGACATATGTAGTTACCAGTCCAAGAAATATAGACTGTATGAAGAGGTCCATACTAAAAAATAGGTCAAAAAGGCTGCTAAAATTAACATAGGTGTACAAACCGCATTAGCTCCAACTTCTATTTCAACCACAATATTTCGAAAAAATCATGTTAGGAACCAATTCTGTCGCTCCCTCTGCAAATGGCCTTCAAAGGAGAGCAAATGATGTGTTACCCTAAATAAGCAATAAATGGGAGTGAAATGAAAACTTAACGTGGTGCGAGGAATCCACATGCCGTAAGTCTTCAAGGAGATGATGTTGCTGCAAAAAAATAAACTCTGTTCCATACATCCAGTAAATCCTAAAACTGTAAATTTTGGTCAGTGAAAAATACAGCTCAACTTTGACCTTCCTCGAAAGCATAGGCGATGAATATTTCTTGGCCATGGAGGCCTGGACAGATTTAAATTCAAATGGCATCGGGGCCGAACAATTTTACAACTGATCCCGACAGCTCTGCAAAGCTGTGAAAGATCGGTATCACGAAAATATTACATATACTGAGCTGGAAAATTTCATTGACACCCGAAATCTGGTAGATACTCACAAGAAAAATATTGAGAAAAATCTCCAAATTCTCAACATGATGCCTGGAAGAACTGGAAAAGAATTTTTGCTTTAGACTTATCTGCAAGATGCAGTGCTGTATTTGCAGAGGCAATAGACAAATTTGGTGGAAACTTAAAAAAAATACAAAACAAAAATACCTTTATATGCAATGCAATCCCAATGTGTTATGCTGGAAATCATGAGCTATGCCGTCGTCATTCTTTTGCGTGTAAAGGTGACATCTTTCTTTTGCGCGTAAAGGTGACATCTTTCTTTTGCGTGTAAAGGTGACAAGAAATTCTGGCTTAAAGCAATAGCTTTTTGAATTGCACATTTAAAACATTTAATACATGTGAAAATATCAATGATTTAGGAAAATGTGTACTCTACCATCTAGATCCAGATGCTTTAAATAAAACAAAACTCCTCCTGAATACTCAAACAGTTGAAGGATTTAACCAAAGCTTACGAATGTCTCTTCTATAAATGTAACATTTACCAAAGACTTTGAAGACAGAGTCAATGCAGCAGTCCACAGTGTTGATCTTGGTCCAGGGGAATCATTGCTGTTGATCTGTGAACAACTCGGAGCACCAGTGACTGCATGGTCTGTTGAACATTTGCTGACAAAAGAAAGTATTTGTACGCAACCGAAAAAGAGAATCGAGACTATAAAAAAAAAACACTTTTGATTGACGCCAACAAGAAAATAACTGGAAAAATATCAAGACCATGGCTACGCGCAAGTGAAAAGGGTACACAAAACTAGCAAAAAATAAAAAAAATATATAGAGTAAACAGTTTGGTTCATGGCTTTAAAAAACAAAATTCCTGTCCCGTGCAGTGTATTCGTTCTTGGTTGGTATCATGGGTCTCTAGAATAATGTGATCCGGGTTTACACATAACTTATTCCGACACAAGTGGCTACATTCAACTGTATTGTTGTTTTCAACTAGCTGTTGCATATAATTTTAACTGATTTTAGGTTTAATCATATATGCCACCCCGTGGGTTCTTTCTTTTTTAAAACCTTAGTGGGCCATTTTAAATTCTTCACCCATGGCCATAGTTGTCAAAATAGCCCTCCCATGCTACACAACCATAATTATTGCCCAGTTTCATTGATTCAAGGTGAAAATTCTCTCTAGATCTTGGAAAAAGTCTTCCATGGTGAGTTTATCAGAAAAACTCTTACATAAGTATTCTGACCCCACAGACCGAAAAGTGAAAGTGAAAGTACCCCACAGTTTATTGATTGATTGATTGTTGGTTGCTTAACGTCCAGTGGCAAATATTTCATGCATATTCAGGACGAGAACAAATTTTAGAATGCAAAGCTAAATAGAAGCCTTTTGTTTTATTACGTCTTAATAAAATAAATTCTGTGTTTGAAAGTGGTGTTTTAGTCTTAGATACATGATTTTTTTTATAAGTTGTTATTGGCTTTGAACTAGCTGTCAGTAATTGCGAGTACTCTTAAGTCAGTACTTAGTGTCTTTTTTGTTCTCAGGAATGAGGGATGGATATATACCCTGCCACGTCCTGTCTTTGTTTTTGTTTGATGTTTTTCTTTGTATTGATCTGACGAATTAAGCCTTTTTCAACTGATTTTTATAGTTTGTTCTTATGTTGTGCTGTTACGCCACTGTCCCATGTTAGGGGAGGTTTGAGCGCTCACAAACATGTTAACCCCGCCACATTCTTTATGTGTCTGTCCAAAGTCAGAAGCCTGTAGTTCAGTGGTTGTCGTTGGTTTGTGTCTGTCATATTTGTTTTTCCTAAATTGTTTTGTTATAAATTAGGCCGTTAGTTTTCTCAGTTGAACTGAATTGTCGGGGCCTTTTAAAACCGACTATACGGTATGGATTTTTTCATTGTTGAAGGTCGTACGGTTGCCTATCATTGTTTACATCCGCTTCATTTGAACTTTGGATTAATTGTCTCATTGGAAATCATACATATACCACATCTCCTTAATTTTATATTGAACATAGAAATACTACTAAAGGCAACCATTTCATGTACATATACTGTGACTTCACTTTCATTTCAATCCTGACGTGCATAGGGATTGTAAATATCTGTGACTTCATTATCAACAAATACAAAGTAATGTCAAATCCATAAACATCGATTCATCTTTTTGGCACGTGCATTTTAGACTTAATTTGGGGTTGTTCTCATTCGACTTTTTATATTAGTTTTACGAATAATCAGTATTTTGTGCCTTTGGTATTCCACAGTACACCGAAAATGCAAAGGCACATTTCATAGATGACACCGTTTTCATAGTGTGGACTTTAAAATTGAAAATAACTCTGGTATTTTTTTAATGAAATACTAATGAAAACGACGTGTTCCAATTCTTATGACGTCTGTTTTGTTTAAACTTATGATCTTAGATAGTCCCTAGATATCTCTATTCTCTCTCTCTTTTCTGAAATAGAAATTTACATTTTCGGCCAAAATTCCTTGTCCCAAGATTTAATGGCTGTCTTGAAAACATTTACATTAGTTGGTATTATGACCAAAATATTGAAATGGGATCAGAATAAATGTCCAACTAGCCGCTAGTAAATTGGCTGGATCATAGTACAGACGATGCTTTGATTTAAATAATAATGAATAAACGGTTGCGATATTTAAGCAACTTGTATATTTAATTTGCATTGATAATTTTACATGACTTGTTCGTCTTTATCTATGCGTGAACAGTTACAATTAATAGCGATATATTACGTATTAAATATTAGTAGAACGTTGTAGCATAATGTCATTTTGGGGTTTTCAGACATATCTCGAAATGGTTCTGTAACGTGTTGATGCTCATTGTTAACTTTAGTTGTCGATAGAATTGGTCGCTAGCTTGATATGTCGCTGGAATTGGTCGCTAGCTTGAGTCTGGTAAAGTGCGATGGTATACGCTAAAGTGCGATGGAGGCAAACGCTAAACCTGAAACTGCGCTGGTATGACACGCTAAAGAGCGATGGTATAACACGCTAAAGTGTAATAGTAAAGCACGCTAAAATGCAATGGTGTAACAGGAATGGGGTTCAGGCAATGGTTTTCGTTTGTTGCTGTGTTCCTATTATTGTAGTTTTTCGTTTATTATTATGTTTATTAATCAGGCCGTTGTCTTTCTCTTTTGATTTGTTTTACACTGGTCATTGTGTGGCCATATGTATATATAGACTGATATACGGTGTAGGCTAAGGCTCCACGTACGTCAAAGGCTGTAGTTATTAGTTGCATATATCAACGACATTTGGTCTTGGATGCATATGTGTCTCATTTTTTTATTAGCTCACCTGGCCCGAAGGGCCAAGTGAGCTTTTCTCATCACTTGGCGTCCGTCGTCCGTCGTCCGGCGTCGTCCGTCGTCGTCCGTCGTCGGCGTAAACTTTTTACATTTTGAACTTCTTCTAGAGAACCACTGAATGGAATGAAACCAAACATGGCATGAATGTTCCTTATGAGGTGCTGACCAAGTGTTGTTACTTTGTAGCCGATCCATCATCCAAGATGGCCGCCAGCGGGGGACTTAGTTTAACATAGGACCCTATGGGAAATGCATACAAATGACTTCTTTTAGAGAACCACTGAATGGAATGAAACCAAACATGGCATGAATGTTTCTTATGAGGTGCTGACCGAGTGTTGTTACTTTGAAGCCGATCCATAATCCAAGATGGCAGCCAGCGGGGGACTTAGTTTAACATAGGACCCTATGGGAAATGCATACAAATGTCTTCTTTTAGAGAACCACTGAATGGAATGAAACAAAACATAGCATGAATGTTCATTAGGAGGTGCTGACCAAGTGTTGTTACTTTGTAGTTGATCCATCATCCAAGATGGCTGCCAGCAGGGGACTTAGTTTAACATAGGACCCTATGGGAAATGCATACAAATGACTTCTTTTAGAGAACCACTGAATGGAATGAAACAAAACATAGCATGAATGTTCCTTACAAGGTGCTGACCAAGTGTTGTTACTTTGTAGCCATTCCATCATCCAAAATGGCCGCCAGCGAGGGACATAGTTTAACATAGGACCCTATGGGAAAGGCATACAAATGACTTCTTTTAGAGAACCACTGAATGGAATGAAACAAAACATAGCATGAATGTTCATTAGGAGGTGCTGACCAAGTGTTGTTACTTTGTAGCCGATCCATCATCCAAGATGGCCGCCAGCGGGGGACTTAGTTTAACATAGGACCCTATGGGAAATGCATACAAATGACTTCTTTTAGAGAACCACTGAATGGAATGAAACAAAACATAGCATGAATGTTACTTACAAGGTGCTGACCAAGTGTTGTTACTTTGTAGCCGTTCCATCATCCAAAATGGCCGCCAGTGAGGGACTTAGTTTAACATAGGACCCTATGAGAAATACATACAAATGTCTTCTTTTAGAGAACCACTGAATGGAATGAAACCAAACATGGCAAGAATGTTCCTTATGAGGTGCTGACCAAGTGTTGTTACTTTGAAGCCGATCCATCATCCAAGATGGCAACCAGCGGGGGACTTAGTTTAACATAGGATCCTATGGGAAATACATACAAATGTTTTCTTTTAGAGAACCACTGAATGCAATGAAACCAAACATGGCATGAATGTTCCTTATGAGGTGCTGACCGAGTGTTGTTACTTTGAAGCCGATCCATAATCCAAGATGGCCGCCAGCGGGGGACTTAGTTTAACATGGGACCCTATGGGAAATACATACAAACGTCTTCTTTTAGAGAACCACTGAATGGAATGAAACCAAACATGGCAAGAATGTTCCTTATGAGGTGCTGACCAAGTGTTGTTACTTTGAAGCCGATCCATCGTCCAAGATGGCAGCCAGCGGGGGACTTAGTTTAACATAGGATCCTATGGGAAATACATACAAATGTTTTCTTTTAGAGAACCACTGAATGGAATGAAACCAAACATGGCATGAATGTTCCTTATGAGGTGCTGACCAAGTGTTGTTACTATGAAGCCGATCCATAATCCAAGATGGCCGCCAGCGGAGGACTTAGTTTAACATAGGACCCTATGAGAAATACGTACAAATGTTTTCTTTTAGAGAACCATTGAATGGAATGAAACCAAACATGGCATGCATGTTCCTTTCGAGGTGCTGACCAAGTGTTGTTACTTTGAAGCTGATCCTTCATCTATGATGGCTGCCAGATGGGGACAATGTTTAACAAAGGACCCTATGGACAATACATACAAATGTCTTCTTTTAGAGAACCACATACTGAATGGATTGAACCAAACATGGCATGAATGTTCCTTATGAGGTGCTGACTAATTTTTGTTACTTTGAAGCTGATCCTTCATCCATGATGGCCGCCAATGGGGGGACTTCCTTTAACATAAGACCCTATGGGAAATACATACAAATGCTTCTTCTAGAGGTGCACTGAATGGAATGAAACCAAAACATGGCATAAATGTTTCTTATGAGGTGCTGATTAAGTGTTGCTACTTTGTTGCCGATTTACTGTTCAAGATGGCCACCAGGATTTTTTATTAAATTACAGGACCAATATTAAACCAAATTTGGCCTCACTCATTATTAGGGTATCTGTTATGATTTTAATCTATTTTTACATGATTTCCAAAACCAAAGTAGAATCAGGTGAGCGACACAGGCTCTTGAGAGCCTCTAGTTTAAAGTACGATAGTTGTCAAAAAAGTATAATGGTAGTGTTTACTTTATGAACCTGTCTCAAGCCAAAAACATGTAATTCAGTGGTATCGTTTGCTGTTGTATTTCATATTTGTTTTCCGTTTATTGTTTTGTTTATAAATCAGGTTTGGCACTGGTCGTTTTGTGGCCCTTTTGGTCTTTTCAGAATAGTATGTGGTGTTAGCCAATGCTCCGCGTTAAGGCCATGCTGTAACCTATAGTTGCTTACGTTAATAACATTTGGTCTATCTGGTCGTTAGGTCACAGTTACTGTCTAGTTGACGTATTTTCATATCTTTAACAGTAATAACGAACCATGTTGTAAAAAAATGTTTTAGAGAATGATTTCATTGGAAAGTAAAAAAGAAGACTTTTTTTCATGCAAGTTCTCATAACATCTGATTACAAACATAGAAGGAGCAGAAATACTAAAATTATTTCAGTATAAAGGATCAAATGATCATGTGTATGATCGTCCTGTATATGCATGTAATATTTACCACTGTAAGTTCAACAAGCAAAAATAAGTTTATATCATTTTATTAATTAATTTTACCGAACTACTGGAAAATATGGTTTTCAAAGTCTTTCATACACAGCGTCACTTTTAAAGTAATCTGCTTTTTCATTTTTGTTGATTTCCATTGTTGTCGGTAAAACGCACTTTAGCGTATTGAGGCATCGGACTTTAGCTTGTTCCATTTAATAGCACATACCATCATACTTTAGCGTATCAAACAATCGCACTTTAGCGTGACCATCGCGTTTTAGCGTCCCTATCGCACTTTAGAGTCCTACAAATATATGTACCTAACATTTTTTCTCAGACAGCATGGAACTAAGTGCGAATAAACAAGGGATGTCAGATTCAGACAAAACAAAAATAAAAAGAGTATCTTCAACTGATTATGATGATGTTATGTCAATCAGATCTGCTGTTCATGGTGGATTTGATTATCTTCCGTTCACGTTCAAATCCCTTATAACACAATCTCACAATAAAGGATATGCGACACTTATCAATGGAAAATTTGTAAGTCTTATTTAACTTCATTATTATCGGATTCTGATTATTTTGTTTAAATGAAGATAGCATTTAGGAATGGCAAAACGAATACTGTACGTCGAAGAAAAACACACAAACAGGCCAAAAGAAAAAAGAAAAAAAAGACCGTAAGAAAGAAAAAAACAAAGAATGAACAATGTACGCTGAATGGGAACTGTAAAAACAGAGACTTACTGAATCTGGACATAAAAGAATCGATGCGACAAGGTTTAAAGGAATTTGAAATTACAAATTCACAGAAGATGACGAAAAATTAAGACATTGTTATACAGCTACCCATGTAATCAGTCTTATTTAAATGTCTTAACTTTTGTCGTTAAACATTAATTATAAGATAAAAATAGCAAACTACATGTAAGTAATAATAATTAAAAACCTGACTATAAATAAATGCGTTAGATTTGAAGAGATGGCCAGCCTGTATTCAATCTTCAGATATATATAATGCACATCAAAGGAAGCAAAACAATACATTATACTTTGATTTGACTACTAAACATTAAGATCGTTGCCGTAGACAAAACAATATTACGATAACATTTTTTCTATCGCAGTGGTACCTTTGAGCAGTCATTGTTTTTCGTTTATTTATTTTAATGACTATGTATTTTTGCTTTGTTGATCCTTTAGATTTTAGTTATATACATTTTAGGTGGCGTTTTGCATGGTTTCAAAAGTAGATGGAGGCGAAACCATTGTTACTAGAGCAAGTCGGGTCAGCAAACGATACGAGGGTCGTGGTTTATATAAAGCTCTTACATTATTCATGCAAAAACATGTCTTCAGTGAGGGAACTGTTACAAGTCATGCTGTCGTTTACAGTGACGCAAATCAGTCGATGTTGGATAAGACATCAAAGGGAGAATTTACGTTATTGATGAAAAGGGTTTGTAAATTAAGGCGGCAGAAGTATACCTATGTTCAAATCTCTTTAATCTATTGAAATAAAACACACCAAGGTTAAAAATACAATCACTGAGAGAATCGCAGAAACTATAAAAGAGCGAGGCCTGGTGTGTCGACAGGGTAAGCATCTCCTGCTATACTTACTTCACATGAATTGTAACTCTTAATTAAAAATCAAAATATCTTGAATTGATTTAAAATACAAATAGACTTAATAATTCAAATGTTTGGAGATGAACAGATTTCCAATAGATTCTAAGTTAAGAAATACTAAGGAGTGGAGTTCCATTATTCAGATATGTCAATATCGTAACGATTTCATATATGTATCAAGAACTTCAATGATTTCTTGTTAGGCAATATATGAAAGAAACTATTTTAAAATTACCGCTGTTCTTTATGACATAAGACGTCTAATTTGTTCGACGCCTTGGTACAATCACATCTTTCTTAAAAGTAAAGGACAACAGAAGTTATTAACAAAAATCAGAATTAAAAACCCATTATGATAATGAGATATGCGATCTTCATTAAAAAGAATAGAAAAATAGTAAACAACAATTATATTTTCTGTATGAAAACGTCATAGTACTCAAACTGTGTACATGCACTTAGTACATTTGTTTAAGTTGCACAAAACGTTTAATTTCTTTGCTAGAACAACGGACACAAACATTGTCATTAGTCATTCAAAACGTGCTATACCATTATAAATATACTGTCAACGAACTGTGCGCCTCTCCTTGTCAACCTCTTCTTATTTTCATATGAATCGGAGTTCCTTCAGACACTTGTCAAAAACAAGAAGATCAAAAATGCTAGGTCATTTAACTTCACATTCAGATATATTGATGACGTTCTTTCCATTTACAACCTAAACTTTTCTGATTGGGTTCCATTAATATATCCCCCAGAACTAGAAATTAAAGAAACAACAGACACGGCTTCCTCCCCATCATTTTAAGACTTATACCTCGAATTTGACATACACGGTCATCTCAGTTCCAGAATCTATGACAAACGAGACGATTTTAATTTTGAAAATTATCAATTTCCCCCACCTTAGTAGCAATATACCAATTTCACCTGCATATGGGATATACATTTCCCAACTTATTCGTTATTCAAGAGCATGCAGCAACTACTCAGACATTGTAAAACGTCACCAGTGTCTGAGCAGAAAATTGATGAACCAGGGGTATGTCAAAGAACGTCTCGTCCTTTTTCTAAAAAAGTTCATCGGAAGGTACCAAGACCTTGTTGATAAATATTCCGTATCAACTTCACAAATAATACACGATGGTCTTGAATATAAAAAAGAAGATGTGGTATGATTGCCAATGAGACAACTCTCCACAAGAGACCAAATGACACAGAAATTAACAACTATAGGTCACCGTACGGCCTTCAACAATGAGCAAAGCCCATACCGCACAGTCAGATATAAAAGGCCCCGAAATGACAATGTAAAACAATTCAAACGAGAAAACTAACGGCATAATTTATGTATAAAAAATGAACGAATAACAAATATGTAACACATAAACAAACGACAACCACTGAATTACAGGCTCCTGACTTGGGACAGGCACATACATACATAATGTGGCGGGGTTAAAAATGTTAGCGGGATCCTAACCCTCCCCTAACCTGGGACAGTGGTGTAACAGTACAACATAAGAACAAACTATAAAAATCAGTTGAAAGAGGCTTAACTCATCAGATGGATAAAAATACAAATACTACAAATACAAGTGGACGTGGCCGGGTACTTGTACATCCAAACAACAAAAAAACACTAAGTACAGATCTGAGAGTACTCGCAGTTACTGACAGCTAGTTTAAAGCCACTAACAACTAATAAAAAAAATCATGCATCTAAGACTAAATTATCAATCCGTACACATCCAACATCCAATGGATTTAGTGTAAGGACGTCATAAAGTATAGATTCTGAGTACTGACGTTGTTTATCATCTTGATAACGTGTTATAGTATTCTTTTATTTGTCTTTATGAATATTACTTTTACTGTTTAGTCTGTTCTTTTGGTGGTATCCATTTCACGTGGCTCTGTACTTATACACCCCGCCATTGTGTTATTGTTCTATGATAATTTTTGTATTCTTGTCTTTCATTTTTGCTAATATGCTTTTTCTATTTGGTTACAAAATTTCCAGCCCTCTTGTAATATGTTTGATGATCGAATGTCTTTTTCTTTCAGAAAGTAATTGGTTACAAGATTGATTATGATAAGATGTCAGTTATTACGAATAGAACAAAAACAACAAAAAATACTCGTACTTTGTATGAAGTGGATATTATAACAGTTTTTAAGTCCAGAAGTGTATGTTCAACTCTGTTCCCACAGGAGCGAATCATGTGTAATTTTGTACCATATAGACTGACAGATAGAAATATACCACTTATCCTTTCGGAAGTTTCTCTTATTGTGGGTACTGGTGATCCAGAGTTGAGTTTTATCACTTGTGGAGTTTACTATCTTTCTGAAAATGGCCATACCTATATACTTGAAGTGTATGGAAATTGCAATTTTATTAGAGAGCATTTGGTACTTCATTTTCAACACGCATTACAGTACTGCCTCAAAGAAATAGATATCCTGGTAATGTGCAAAGAAAATGATGCTGACAAAATAGATATTGAAATAAAAGAATGGCAACTCACTAATATGGATGCTGGATTTAAAACAGTGTTCTTAGTAGAAAAGAAAATGAAGTAAAAGAATTATACGAAGTTTAGCGTTAGGACAGTAATGATTGAAAAATAAATCACTATAGATGAATTCATGTTGCGATTATTAAAAATTTGTTTTACAAAAAGTTAATCATATTTTCATGTTTTGTTTCCGCAGTCTCTTTTTCCATCTTGTTTGTGGTTAAACACTGATGTCTGGTACCATATAGTTCTTTTACTTGAGTTAAAATATGACTGCTGGTCAATTAGTATTTGATAATTTTGAGGCTCTTTTTGGTGATTATTGCAAGTTCTTGTCTATAACTGTCAATTCTGAAATCTTTGTGTGGTTTATTTTTTGCGAATGTTGAACAGTGAACATGAATGCAAGACTAGTTATTGCAATATCAGTTAATTTTGCACACATTTAATGCTGACAATACGAATATTTATTTTTGGGAAAGTTATCGCGCCGCATTATTCGCATTAACCAAAACATTGCACAAATCACTGAATTTACGACCATTTCTTTATATTACCATTATTTAACATACAATCTTCAAAATGCATTGTCAAAATGCATGAAATTTTATTCTTGTAGTTAAATCATTTATATTAATATCTGATGTGAGTCTTGTATTGTATAAATTATTCCCTTATAGCAGTTGATAAGACGCTTGTATTAATTATACTGTTCCTTTCATTCATCCGACATCCTTAGAATATTTTGATCAATCGTGGACTGGTGTAGTGCCTCTTTGTTTAAATAGTTGCAGTTTTCACTGATGCAATGTATCTAAATATGCTGTGATAGAATATAAAAAACCCTTAAAGTCTCTTTTCGCTCCAAGTTTCAAGAATGAGAGGACATTCATCAAACGGCTACAATTTGTACCTTTTTTTCTTTTTGTATACTTTGAATATAGAGCGCTAATGACATCCAATCACAAAATTGTCTGTACTAATTGAAAATCTCTGGATCTCTATCTTAAAATAATTGACATTATAAAATGTTTATGTACAAATATCCCTGACATATATATAATTTAGCATTTCGTTTATGTTTTAACCCTTCAGAGATAATATTTACCCTGAAAATAACAAAACTAAGAAAATGAAATGGTTATGGAGTACCATTACCATTTCATTTTTCTTAGTTTTCATAAACATTTTGATTTCAGTGAATTGCATTTTTTTAATAAGTTTAATAGACGTTAAGTCAAAATGACTCACCTTTATGATAGTACTTTTGAAAAAACAACTACTATTATCTGAATGTAAAAATAGATCAGCAACGTGACGCCCATGTATCATAAAATACGGAGTTTATGTTCAAGGGTATGCTCCTTGTTCAGAAATTGCACCAAACAGAAAAATGAATACACGTTTTGCAAAATTTAGCAAAACCAACCATTCCACAGATAATTCAACCTAGGCATTTCGAGTGATTTTAACTTTTTTATATTTGATTGACAGTATCTTTAACATGGCATGTCCGTACTGATGTGTTGGCTACTGGACTGCGGTATCGACTGATTAGTTACAAAGATACATAACTTATATATTAGTGCGTTACGTTAACACAAGACTCATAAATGGGACTCGAATAAATACAGTTTTTAAACGGTTTAACAATATTCAAAAAGATTATTCAATAAGCTTTGAATTCGACATTCGTATTTTAATTGGGTACTAATTTCTTATTGTACGCGTACTAATGCATTGCTACTTAAAGGGGCGGATACATATGTTTGTTCCACCTTATTTGTTATTGTTAATATGTCGTCAGAAAATAGATATATTCAACTACAAAATATCTAATTCTATGTTTAGTCCATCCAAAGTTTTTTTGTAAAATTGTCAGTAAATAACAGTGCAATGTAAGACATGTAGTAAAAATCGACATCACAGAACATTCATTATTTAAAGATTTATATTGCGTAATTCCACAAGTAAAATAATGCTTCTGTACTTCGATCGTATCTGCCTTTTTTTTAATTCACTAAATACAAGCCAGTTTATAACATGGTGATTTCGGGCGGGCGCTTGGATGGTTGTAGTGGTATAGTGGTAATAGTGGTACCTATTTGTGTAACTAATTCCTCATACATTTTTCACCCAGACCCCTAAACCGTTTCAGAATAATTGGGCACATCTTGAGGCTGTACCCGAGTATTGTGTAAGTTTTTCGTGGATTTATCCTTCATTTTCCCAGACTTAATTGGAGGATATGGTATGTTCACTTTAGTTTACAAATGCCACGTGTGATGTCACTATGATGCTATAAACATAAAGTGGCAATTTTACTCGCGTTGGCAAAACTTAATATGTGATAAAGTCTTGCATAAAAATACTTTACTATAATTAAAGAGGCATTAGCTACGATTTAGACAAAATATGTCTTTGTTATGCGTCAAACATTTATAAAAGCGGAATATTGAAATCATATTTCCCTACTAGAAGTCAGTATTGTTCAATTTGTCAAAATACGCACCCAAAACATCCATACAAAAATCTTTGATAAGTCAATAATGCAATTAATTTTAACCTGTATTCATGCGACCTTTAATTCTAACCTTACCTAGAGATGGGTTTCGCATGTCTAGTAATTGAAAAAAAAGAGTATCAACATTGATAAGTGATACAAGGGACAACTGGGTAGAAACATTTCATTGACCAATTCAACAAAGACAAAATCATTCTTATAAGGCAAAACGGTAATTTATTATTTTGACATTTTTACCTATTATGTCTGTTTGTTATGTTCTCACATCGTTGTCAATATAATGGAATTTTACTGTACCAAGTCAGGAATATGACAGTTGTTATCCATTTGGTTTTTTTTTATTAATATTTATAGTCATGCCTATATCGATCGGGTCATAGCATTATTCGAAGGTCATCCCGATGGTTAATTAGATAGCGTCTAGTCTAAAATACGCATGAAATGCTGATACATTATAAATAATTCATTCATCATTAACCGTTTCTCTTGCACATTGATGTACGTTTTAATATGTAATATAGCCAATATGAACATGTGAATCAAATATGTGAACATGTATTTCACAGCTTATGACCCTTTAATATCTTTTTATGATAGATTTTGAAAATAAATTCATTTAGGGTAAGGCTGTGACTCATATTGAATGATCAGATCTAAAATAGGGTCTTTTTTGCAGTATTTGCAGATTTGTATCAATGTATTAAAATATTAAAAGTTTGAAGTCTTGAAACAAATTTGCAAAACAAGAATCTAAAATATATATAATATTTATATCTAACAGAAATATCTTGGGAACATATATAGATAGTCATTTGGTAATTTGTATTACTATTGGATTTTCGAACTCAATGTCTTTGTACTTATAGGTGGCGTTCTGTATTATTTCAAAGGTTGATGGAGGGGAAACTATGGTGACTAGGGCAGGTCGGGTCAACAAACAATTCGAAGGACACGGCATATATAAAGCACTTGCATCATTCATTAAACAACGCCAATGCAATGGTACCGTGTGTTATCATGCTTATATTGCAAATGACACAAACCAAGTGATTTTGGACGCAATTTCTAGAGGGGAACTTGTTGTATTGATAATGAAAGTAGGTTATTTATATTTTTATGAACAGGAACTATTAAAATAGAATTCAACATTGGGTCATGTAAGCTATCACTGCCACCTTGCGTTCGTCGTCAACCATAGGTTTAAACATTATCATCAATCTCCTCTTCTAAAACCACTATACCAATTTCATCTTAACTTGGCCGAAAGGATCCTCAATGTATTTTATATAAAATTTGTGTTAAAATTAGATAACGTTTTTTGGAAAGAAATTTTTTATGCCTGGAACAATATGTCAAGACTCCGACATCCTTGTTATTTTGAGGAAGTCATATCTTCATCTATATGGAATAATGAGAACATTAAAATTGATAATGTTTGTGTTTATTATAGAAGGTGGGCACAAAACTGGATATAGACTGTGAATGACCTTCTAGATGAGCAAGGAAATATATTGTTCTATCAAAATTTTGAAAGGCTATATACTTTTAAACCCACATTTTTACAATTTTATGGGATTAAAATAGCATTAAAAAAGTGATAACAATCTATGGGAATCAACACTGAAAGGGAAAAAAAACAACAAGCTTTGCTACCATTTAATATTAACAATTTTTTCAAGTCAAACAGAGGTCCAAAAGACATGTATAATATTTTAAACCAAGGTACAATACCAGCTGTAATTGCAGCTGAGCGAAAATGGGAGAGTATATTAAATAAAGTTGTAGGAGATTGGAAAAAAATACATAATTGTGTCACTAAATTTAAAAAAAAAATACCAAGCTCTGTTGGTTTCAATACCGAATTATTCACCGTATTTTAAGTACTAATACTCGTACTTTACTTTTAAAAATGAACCTTGTACAATGTAATTTATGTACATTTTGCAAGGAAGAACCAGAAAGCATAGAACACTTATTGTGGGGCTGTCATATTGTAGCAGACATTTGGCACCATCTGAATGCTTGGATTTTTGAAGCAACACATATTGAAATTCCACTAAATGTGGATATAGGCTTGTTTGGTCTTTATGATAACTATAAACTAAATTTTATAAAACATAAAGTCATTTTACTAGCAAAGTATTTCATCTACAGATCTAAGATGCAAGAGGAAAAACCTCATATAGAGGGACTTAAAAACTATATCAAAGAAAATTTAAATTTAGAAAAGCAGATTTCCTAAAAAAAATATGAGTGCGAAAGAATATAACATGTACTGGAACCCCTGGTATAAAGTCATTAATTAATTTAATAGTTAATTATAATGTATGATAAATGTGCTTGAAATGTAATTACAATTATCACTATATTATTTAATGAAAATGTTATACTTCTTCCATGTATATATTGTATTCTGTTATATCGTATCGTATTATTATTACTATTTCTTATGCCCCCACCGAAGCGGAGGGGGCATTAAGTTTTACCCTTGTCCGTCTGTACGTCCGTACGTCCGTTCGTACGTCCCAAAGTTGGTTTCCGTTCTCTAACTTTAGTTTGCCTCGACCAAATGTTATGAAACTCACACACAATGATTATTACCACATAATACAGATCAAGTTCGAAATTGGGTGGCATCACTTTTA